TTGTTTGGGGTGGAATGCGGGCATGGCAGTGGTGCCCATTAGCAGTGAATTTTTGGCAGTAAGCAGAGCAGCTCAGCTGAGCGAACATATTCACAGACTTACGCGCAAGCCAGTTGACTGACATACATAGACAAACAGACTGGCGGGCGGACAGACGGGCTGTGGGTGCCTGTGTTTTTTGGGCCTTGAGGCTTTGTAGCCATGCGAACACATGCAGCATGGCCTTATTGTTGTCGTGTGTGTGTGTGTAAAACATTTTATAGGCAAATCGATTTTTGTCTAAAGTGCCACAAACACGCACAACAGCAACAGCAGCAGCAGCAGCAGCAACGATAACAATAACAAGGACTTTTGCAACAATAACAATAAAGCGACATTGCGACAGCATAAAAAAGAGATGTTGCGGGTGGCAGCTGCGGGGGGTCAACTACATTTCCGGTCTGTGTATTAGCACAACAACTGCCACGCTGACCGTGGCCAACTGTGCATGTGTGCCTGCGTGCATGTGTGTGTGTGTGTGTTTGTGTCACGAGCGTTAATGTCAAGCGCTACGGCCTCAGTCGCAGTCACAGCCGCTGTGCATTGGGCACGAGCCGCTACTCAATCCTTGCGATTCTTGTGCCACATCAAAGTCAAAGTCAAGCCACAAGGCTAGAGTAAAAAGTCCGAGCAGTTTAGTGGCGAGTGCACGACTAGAAGATTCCCTTCTCCGAATAACATACAAGTCACCCAGTTTTATTTTCGCAATGATTTTCTTATATTTTATAAGGATTACCAAATTTTTACTTTACGAGAACTTTCTTGCTAAAACTTTTTTCTTTAGATCACATAGTATATACTCAATATTTGTCGATATATATTATGTATAATGTATGTGTATAATAGTGCTATTGGCTATGATAAACGAAAAGATATTTTCCATGCTTTAACCTCTGAAATCTCTAGAAGACACGCTAGAAAATCTCAATTCGCCATCCTGATAACAAAAACACACATACATATAAAAGTATATACTCTAGGCTGTAAAATCAATCTTCTCAAAAGGCTGGGAAAATGATTTTTAAACAACAACAAAACAAACGTTTTCCGCCAATTTACCACTGTTGCCAGTGGAATTTCCAAATTCATTGAAATAATGAGTACGACATTATTATTATTTTCTTATTACGAGCTTTGAAAATAAGTTTTATGCATATCGGACACAACTTAAAATTCAACAAAAAAATCATTAACATTCACTTTTCTCCGAAGGAGCTTAGATTTTGCGAAAAGTGAAAAGTTTTGCTGCTTAGCTCCTACGGTTTGGGATGTGCGTTGATCACCAATCAGTTGGTCAGTCAGGGCAAGTATTTACAATGGGTGCAGGGTATAAAAGCAAAAACAATAGCAAAATTCAAGCTCATATTTCCAAGCAGTTAAATCTGATTTCACTTTAAGCTTAATCTTCTGCTTGTTCTTCTATGCTTGGCAAATTAATGAAGCTCATTTGCAGATTGATGTGTTGCAATTATGCGGCAACAACAACAACAACAGCAATAACGATTAGAAGAAGAAGCAGCCCATAAAGCACTTAGCGCACAGATTCTGATTAAGTGCGGGCGTGCACGAGCGCCGGCTAAAATAGCCACGGTGTCTGGCTTTAAAGCTAAATAAAGCAGCTGTCAGCTTTAAAAGCAATCATCAACAAGAGGCCAAGTGACAGAAAAAGTCAGAGAGAGCGAGAGAGAAAGAGAAAGTGAGTGAAAGGAATAGAGAGGAAGAGAGACAGCTATAAACATTCATTCATTTGCGGTCAGTAGTGCGTCAATCAAGGCAAATGCCATTGCCATTCATATTGAAGGCTCAGACATAGACAGACAGACAGACAGACAGAATGACAGACAGAGAGGGGCACACAGGGGCAGACACAGACACAGTCACAGACAGACGTTATAGCGCGCACGCACGTATGCGCTGCTCCTTGTATCCTGTCAATGGTATACGCCTTTGGTCCTGTTTTCTTTTTAATGAACGCTTTGACAATGCCTTCGAGTGCAACTAAACGAGAGGCAAACGAGGACGACAACTCTTGTCTGCGACTGTTTTTTTTTTAGAGATGCGAATGTGTCACGACGTAGCTGCAAGGCATAAGATGCAAACACACATTTAATATTCGACGCGACTATTCTAATATTTTAATTTGTATTCAATTAAATTAAGGTTTTTTATAGCTTTTTACAACATATGCATGTGTCTACATCGTATATGGTCGCGCTTAGTCGTGCTTTCCTATATATTTTCTCAATACGAGTACGCATCAAATCACAATTATTAACTCGAAACATAAATTACAACTTCGCTTTAATTCACGTACATCATACAACAAATAAATACATAGGTAAATACGAAATACGAGGAGATGCAATAGCAAATTTTTATTAACATGAAATATATCGTCTTAGGTCGTGCACCTTTGTTCAAAGTGATCAAGTCCGGCCTAATAAAAATTAGATAAAAATGAGCGCAACGTTTTCGGTTGTATTTTCGTGTTGATTTTATAAGCATACATTACACGAACGCTCACAAAATGGTATCTCTTGTCAGCATAGCGCAGTATTTTATTTATTTTATTTATTTTACTTTATGGTGTTTGCGTTTTACATTTGTCAATTTATGCACGATTCCCTTTTGTTAAGCACGTCTTTTTTTTCGAGCTAGTTTTTACGTTAACTTCACTCGAACACAGACAATAGTTGACATTTTTAACAGTGCGTTGAAAAAAAGAGGCATCAGCAGGCACGACACAGTTTATAACGCTTTTTGCAACATCTTTCAATCTAAAGAAAACACGACACGTGCCCAGCTCCAATTGCAATTGCATGAGTATGTGTGTTGACTTAAGTGTGGGCGAACGTCAATGCCAATGCCTGGTCGCCTCAAGTGGCAGTATAATGAGTGTGGCTCTTGCCACTTCCAGCTGCCGCACTGACTGCCGCACTGACTGCCACAATGACTGCTGCTGCTGTTGCTGTTGCACTGATTGCCCACTGCCAATGCCAGCTGGCTGCAATGTAATTAAAGTCAAGTCATTGGCAGCCTCAATGGCAGCAGCAGCCGCTTAGGCTAGGGTCAAGTTGAGCGCATTTTTCTCGAATGCTGCGACCAGCCGCAATAAATGAGAAAAGTTGCCGTTTGCTTGTTTGTTTATTTGCTGCCTTTCATGTAGATAATTAAAAGGGGTTGCTGTACAAGTTAATGCTGCGACTGTTTTGGCAGCTGACTTGCGGTTCGGCAATCAAAAATCATAAATCTTGCTCAATTAGCTAAAGCAGCAACTGACGTCATGCACGAACGGTTGACTGGTTACCGCAGAACCCACAAGAATGGAAAGGACTAGCTAGAGAAATTAGCGCATGACTCAGGCAAGGGCAACGGCAAGGGCGAAGTCAAAGGCAGCCTCAAAAAGGAGCAAACACAGAGCTACAAACGGGCGCTTAGCAAATACACACGCAATATCAATAACTTAATTAAGATAAATGCGAATTGTATTTGGTTATAGACACACACGCACACACGCTCATTCAGCCCATTCATAAACACAGTAGGCTGTTGGGCGCTTTGGTATTGTATTTGCCGGATATCCGTTAATTCTTGCGCTGCATTCGAGCTTAGCTCAGCTCGAGACCCACAAATCGTTGTTAACATTAATGCGACGCGTGTTTAGCTTTGTTTATGTGCCTCTGACAACAAACACACAAACACACACAGTGTACACACACAGACACACGCATACGCATTCAATTAATTTATATACTCATGTGCACGTTTCGCCCATGTGAAAAATGTATAATTAGTTAATTGCTCCTCGTGTTGGCAGACAATTGAGCATAAATTTATGTTTATTTTAGTTATTAATTAAATGCGCCACATTCTTCATTTGTTCATTTCATCTAAAACTGTAACCGTTACCAGTAACCCGAGGCATAGCTCGGCAGTTGGATAGTAGATAAACATATACAAATGCCGCAACTGTTGTGCATACTTCCGGCAATTAGCCAAGGACCTGTGCATGTGCGTGTGCTTGTGTGTTTGTTTGAGTGCGTGCTTGGGTATGTTAAGGACATTAAATCAGGGACTGTGAGGTGTCGTTTAAACACATTGTTATCTATTACAGTGTGCTGATTAGATTTACTTTCCAGATAGCAGTCAGGTAGATAATAATTATAAGTATTAATTTTTTTCTATTATTGTTATTATTATTATTGTAATTATAGTTATTATTATTACCTTTTTTTGTGGATTAAGAATTTAAACCTTGAAAAAATAAATCTAAAATGTTTTTATTTCAGCTTAAAGGATATCAATATTTCTTTTAATCCCAGCTTCCCCCTTATAGTTAATCGATTCGATGTTTATTTAATTCAAGCTTCCTACTAATTCCAGCTTCGCCCTTCTAGTTAACCGATTTCTTCTAATCCCAGCTTCTTCCTTCTAGTGAATCGATTCAATGCAAATACACAATGTATGAAACTCCCTGTGGTACGTCTTCAAAAAGATATCTCCAACTCTCATATTCTTAATAATTTCATTTCAGATTGAGGCAAGCAGGAGTCAAGTGCGGAAAGTGCTTTCTTGATTAAGTTTGTTTCTGTTGTACATCTTCAGTTTAATCACCGCAGCTCTATTCATTGTAGCTAATAGCTACTGACATTTGCATCATAATCTTAATAGAAGCTCGCACTTTTCTGCCTAAACTAATAAACTTGTGCGTAATTCATTATGCTAATCAAAACTTTCAGTTGCCATTGTATCCAAGCACAAATGATGTGCAATGAAAAATGTTTGATCCCATTTTCTGGGCAAGTAGCTTAACCGTATTTCTGGCAGACACGCAATAAAAGTCGCACATTAATTTCTGAAAATATACCAAGTTCTGCCTTAGCACGACCGTACTTTTCGCATTAGGCGCCTCTAATGAGTTTTCCGAGCTGTTGCTTTGTTATGTTGTTGGCGGTACTTACTTGATCTTCTCCCATATTTCCTCGTCGAAATATTTAAGCACCAGCAACTCCAAAGCGTAGTTAACAAAGCCATACTGCAAATAAAAATAATAATAGAAATAGATGAAAAACAGTGTTTTAGTTTATGGGCACGAAAGGGCGGTTCATTATATTATTGCGCAGCAATATATTTATGCTAAATATATGATGCATATTCGAGTAGAGTATTATTATCATTGTCTGGTTTTCATTTATCTCAATTTAACTGGTGAGTGGCCAAACGCGGCGGCCCTTCAGAAATTACAGACATTTTTATGGGCACTCAAAATGAATTCATAAAAGTGCGAGCAAAATTGAATGTCGGCAACATTTTAATTACATTTGCAGGCCAAATAAGTGATAATAAAATGGAGTCCAGCTAACACTCAACCAAAAAAATAAAAATAATAAATAGCTAAGGAAAACGAAAAAGTCGTTTAAGCTCATTTTTTTTAAGGGGCCAGCTCGTTGTGAAAAATGTGAAATCAATAAGGATTGCGCATTTCATTTCTTTTAAATGTATCCCATAAGCAATCAATTTGATTTGTTATGCGAAATCAAGCACAGGCGCACACACATACACATAGACACACGCTGACACACGTAAGTAGAAACATGCCCATAGAGCACTTCAAGATGGCGCACAATCAATCGCTTCCGCCGGAAGTAATGTAAAGCAAGCAAGGAAAATACTTCAAATATATTTACATACATTACGCATACGTCTAGTGGCCCCCACCCAGCTCATGAGTTGCCTGATGAAGATGTATCTAACCGATATTTGATGTTTATTGTGTTTGTTGCGCATATATTGAAATGTTGCAGCAACAACAAAGCAATAGCAACAACAATAATATCAAACCTAAGCCAAACAAACAACAACTTGAGCCATGCAGCTGATGGAAACGTTCTTATACGTGGGCCCCAGCTCTGCGTAATTTGAAAATAGAATGGAAAAACATGCGAAGAAATGCGAAAATCGCTATCATTAAAAGTGAACGCTGCTGATATGCGTGCGCGTGTGTGGCTGTGTGTGCGTGTGTGTGTGCTGTGTGGCTGTGTGTGCGACATGTCAACACGGGAACTTTGTTTGCCTTGTCATTGAGTTGATTCGCATAGCAAGTTGAGTTCTATCATTGTCCTTGGCATTTAATTTGCCCTGCCTTTAAGATTTTTAAAGACTGTTTATTTTCGATGTTAAATATCTGAATTATATACATATATCGCTTTATCAGCATACACGAGTTATGTTTATGAAATAATTCAACTACATTCAAATCAAAATGCATAATAAAAGCAAACTCGGACCGCAGAGTTCGAAATCTAAATTAAATGCTTTTCAAACAACACTTTACTGATTATCTTTGCTTTCCTCTATCTTCATTCAGATTTATAAAATAGTGTGTCCTGGCAAATTGCCTGACCGAATGGAGGTCAAACCAAACCCAACTCCAGCTGCAAAGTTCCATTTAGATATGTTTTGTAGTTTTTTGTTATTATTCACACCGATAAAAAGCAATAATAATAAATTTACAAAGGAAACAGACAAATTAAAAATGAGTAAATGTTAATTAATATATATGTTATGAAATAATTAAATATATGCCTTTGTTATCCTGCTGCTAAATTCAAAGATTGTGGGTTTCATTTAATTTGCTTGTGCTGTTTGGAAAAGTAAAAAGAAATTTATCAGATCCATCAAAATATTATTTTAGATCAATCATTGTCATGAATATATTAATATTTATGCATCCGCTCAACTATCTCAACATGTTTTGTTCGGCCCGAACAATTTTCTATTCATTTCATTTTCATTTCTACATTTTTTTGTTAAAGCATTTGCAATTTTTGACATGAAAATTTAATTTGTCTTTTCAAGTCGAGCCATCAATTACTTATTCGCATAAACTGATGACATGCTATTTGACTTAGTTTTGGGTCTACACAACAAGGAATTAAATATATATTCAATTTAGATACTTATCCACTCTGAATACAGAATACACCAACTTACCATTTTAGCAGCCTGTGTGGTTATATTTTTGAAATGCAAAAATATTTGCTGGCGTTTTAATTCACTTGCACAAATATGTTGATCAAATGCGATTCATAACGTATTCAATATTTAATTGCAACGCATTTGAGTGAAACATTGTTTGTATGTTTGTCTAAAGATCTGCTCAATAAATATATTTTTCGAGCGAATATGTCAAAGAAATGTATTTTAGGAGCACAAAAGTTATTCGTAAACTTTAAGGTTTGCTGTAGGGCGCTCAGCTGTCACGAGTTTAGCACCAGAAATGCCACAAAGGACATGAATATTTCATGAATTTCTACATTGAAATCGGCTTAACAATGTTTTCAGCTCCGCATTTGGTTCCGTTTCGTTTCGTATTCGCTTTTAAATTTTGTTGGCCTTTGCTTTTATTTTTATTCGCCTGGTGGAGCTACTGGCCAGCCCCCTTGCATATGTTTAGGGACCACGCCTCGCTGTTTTTTGAAAGGACGAAATGCTAATCAAATATTCGAATGAGTGCAAGTGAGCTCTCAAGGAGCTCAGCTCGTAGCATTTCCCGACAACAGTTCCTACAGCAGTTGTTGTGCCATTTGCTGGCGGCTTATTGCAGCTGTTATTGCATAGTTGCATGCCACATGCAACACGTGCAACAGCCAAAGGCGCACACAGCCAACACAACTGGGTCACAACAAAGGCATGCAAGGAGCAGCCAAAATGGCAACAGCAATCGGCCCAAAGGATACAGAAGGCTGCTTAATTACACATACGCACACACATACACAAAGACGAATGAATATGTGTGTGTTAGCGAGTTTGTGTGTGGCAAGTCAAGCGTAGCACCAAATTTATGCGCGGCGCCGAGTGTGCGGCAATTAAGGCGTCGACCATTTTGAAGTCAGCAGCGCTGCAAAATGAACACTTTGGGGCATGCAACTATGCAGGATCGTTGCCATAAAGCAATAAGAAGAAGAAGCATTACTGCAGGTTTGACTGAATGAAAGGATATGCCCAGTTTGCCAAGTCAACTTTAAGACTAATGCCACTTGGGGCGGCCACAAAGTTGGAACAAGTTTTTTAAAGCTCAAAGTAAAATATCGATTTTTATCTTGTGTGTCTTTACATGTTTGTGTGTGTGTTTATGTGCCATTAGCAAGCTCGTTAAGGTGCACGCCCCTGCTATATATATATATATATATATATATCTTATATATTTATATATGTGCATACAATCTGTAGTTATTACAGCTTTATATAGAGCAGCGTCTCATTGTTTAACTTTTGCTTCTGGCCCTGCGTCACATTTGTCGCTTATCGCTGTCAACCTTTGGCTCAGTTGTTTGCTTTTAGCCGATTTGCTAACTGATTTCGGTTCTTATTGCATATTAATCAGATGAATTTAGCGCGGCAAATGAGGTCGCACTTCACCTGACAGTCAACCCCCAGACTAACAGGCAACACCATAGATCCATAGCTGCTTGCCACCCGGCTCGAGTGGCTTCCAATTCAGCGAATTTTAATTACGTGCAACATTTGACATTTTGGTAAATAGGAGGCGCCTTGGCAGCGGCAAAGTGTGAATAGGGTTCGAGTGGCATTGAGTGCTGTCAACTGTTTGTTGTGGCTTAAGCAATGGCAATTTTAAACGGGCTGGGGGCCTGCTTTATAAACGTTTTGTCAACCAAGTGCTGCACGAAAGTGCCAAGCACGCGAGTGTTATTCAACTGTAATAACTAAATGATATTTTTGCTCGTTATTTGCGCACAAATTGTCTGTCAATTTGGCACTAAACGTACAATAACTGAGTAAATGATGAGCTGGTCATTAGGCGGCCCGAAACTCATTTCATAATGAGCCAAAACCGGGGGCCAGTTGAATTGGGCAATTGTATGTTCAACTGGGCGCACATTTATCAAAACTAATGGACGTTTTACTATCCATGCAGACAAAAAGAAACAACGACAACAATAACTCGCAACAACTGTCCACAAATTGCCGCGGGCACGCAAAGCCAAATGTCTAATAAACTTTGACATATTGAGGCAAATATTTCTATACGTTTTGTTTCAACATTTCGTCCACTTGTGCTATTGTAATTTTGTTGTGAATACCAAAAACAAAAACCAAGAAAAAAACGCTAACATAAATTGTAGCACGGCTCTTGCCGCCCCTCCCAGTGGGTTGATAGAGACAATAGCGACCGAAATACGCACACCGAAATAAATTAGAGCCCTCAAAAGTATGCTTTAATATTCGTACAAGCCTGCGTTGCGCATACGTCGCATTGGCTGAGTCCTCTGGCGGGTTTCCTTATTATTTCATACTATTTTGATACATTTTTTTTGGCTTTTATTATTTAGCGCCCGACGCTGTTTGCCTTATTTATTTTTAAATATATATTTTAATCACTACGCGCCTTTGTTTTACTTTTGGCTAGTGATTTATTTGTATTGTATTTTAGATTTGACTTTCAATTCAGTTCCTTGACACGCACACATACACAATCAAAGACACTCAAAAACACACTCACACTCACAACTTTCACGTTCGTCTGTTTTTTGATAAGCGAAGCGCGCGCGAGCCTACTTTGAGTAGACTTTTGGTCAGAATGTGCGAGCGCAATGCTTAAACAGTTCGCTTGTAGCAGCCATCGACGACTGAGCAGACGCCGCTTGATGCTTGTTGTATTAAAGGACAAAGCAGCCAAGCGCTAGGACACTTGTGCGCTTTTCCCAAACTGCCACTGGCTCGCTAGCTGTGTCAGTTCCTGTCGCCTGCCAGCCGCTTGCCAGTTTGCCAGACTCACGCTCAGCTGTTGGCTAAAAAGCTGCCAAAAGCTCTCTTGCGCGCGCTCTCTATTATGTTAGCTGCAGCTACTGGCATACAGATGGCGCTATTGACACTTAAGCTGAAATCTTTATAAGACGAACATGATTTTATTTAACATGCTCATATCCTTAATTAGTATAATAGGCGTTGCTTCAGATTGTCTTAATATTGTCAAAATATTTAATTTTTTCTTACAATTAAGCAACACCAATTCATGATCGCATTTCAAATAACATATAAAATTAACCTGATCAATTTCGTTTTAAACATGCATCAATCGTTTGCCATCAAAAGTTTTATTGCACACTTTTTCAAATATGGCACAGAATAATTTAATAAAATGCTTTGCGATGTTTGTTACTACGTTTTTCACTCGGCATGATATAATTATATGGATATATTACTTTTAAGGCAGTCGCAAGAGCCTCAATGTAAAAGATACATTATAATCTGTGAGGTTCTAGGAAGCTTCTTAGAAAAAGCTATCAAATAGCTGTTGAACTGACCCACTGACTACGAAGAAAATCAAACTTCAAAACTCATAGTACATGGTTACATTAATGAGAGAGTATCTGTCAGTCACAAGCTGGGCGCCTTTCGCATTTTTATTTTTACTTGTTTTAATTTAGCTTTTATTTAACCCACGCTGAAAGGCTGCAAGTGCAGCCGCAGCGACCACAACAAAAGTCAGTTGCGATGTCTGATAAATGTCGGCATAAAGCCAACGGCAGAGCTGCCACTGACGGACGGACTATGGCGTTGACACTGATGGAACGAGCCTTGAATAGAGAGAACTGAAGCCAGGTATAGCCGGGGCATTAGCGCCCGCGGCATGCAGCAGACAATTCGAATCAAAGTCGAAAGTCGCGGCTACAAATCAAATACCCTTACTCGGCTGGTCCTACAAGAGAAAACAAAGTAGGCGATGCTTAAAAAGGCACAAAGTCACAAATTAAGAACACTCAAGCATGAAACTTCTGTCATAGAACTCACGCAACAGCTATCATACCCTACAAGTGTGCGGAAAGTGCTTAGGTAAAAAGCTGCTGGCTATTGTACGAATGAAATGGTGCGTTAGGTTTTTTCTAATCAAGTGCAGGCCGCAAAGATGCTAATCTGTGTGACGTTTAATTAACAAGCAAGAAGCTAGCGAGGAAGTTACGCTGCGAACCAAATAGTCCCTCAATTGCAGTGTAACACAAACACACACGCACACAAGCTCTCTGACAATAATGGTTTCTGACTGCGTGCCCAGCCCTTTAGAGGTTGCGCATAGAAACAAAGGACAAGTGCAGCAAGGATAATCACATCACACTTGAGTAAATAAATTCCTGAAGTGGAACCAACCAAGCATCCAGGGCACTTCACAGAGCCAAAAACTTGTAGCCAGCTGTCTAAGCGGGATGCACAGCCTAATGCTAAGGGCCAGCTAACGCCCACTCCTCGCTCCACTCCTGGTTATCAATGATATTGTTTGCCACACACAAAGGTATTATTGGGCTATGAGGCGTATAGCTGGAGTAAAATGAAAGGGAGAGAATAAAAGGATTAGGATGCATTTCAATGCAGTCCGAGTTAATGACGAACGAAGAAGCAACTGTTTATCTTATAGGGACAATGTATAGTATTAAAAAACCCTCGCATGACTAGGCATTTACTTCACCCTTTTTACACCATTAATTCAATATTTAACCAGCAGTCTGGCCAGCGGCGCAAAACGCAAATAAATTATTGATGCACAATCATATTCTTATGATTTTATTTATTTGCATTTCGACACTAATTTTTCTTCGTTCCAGTTATTTGCGCTTCAGCAGTTTTATTGCATTTGAATGCACATCTTTGCACATTTCGCTTTTTGTTTTTGCACAAATATTTGAATATTCTGCAAAATTGCACAGTCCAGTTGCAGGTATGGATCACAACAGCACAATGGACAGGACTGACTGCTTCCTGCAGTTGACCAAAATATGCGACATCTCAAATATGCAACTTGCTGCAAAGTGGCCAAAGGCAATTGTAAACCAACAAGTACAACAGCAGCAATCAAATGTATCATGAGTTTGCATTAGTTGCTGTACCAGCTTGTAAGATGGTTTAATGAGGATGACATAAAGAAAATACATTTCTTTGGGAGTGACTAGTGAAGTCAACATGTGAGAGTTGTCAGAAAAATGTATTTTAAAATTTAACTGTCTGAAATGATTGAGAATTTATATAATTTTCAGTTAAAAATAATTAATGATTAATTATTCACCGAATCGGTAAAAACGTTGAAGACGGAGTCATTCGCATAAATAGGCCTCAAATTAATCTAATCATAATTGGAAGATGGCGATTTTGTAATTGTGCTTTTCGGTTGAATAATTTCCAGCCCAAAATGTAGATGTACCATTACAATTTTGAAGATTGGACAAACCAAAGCTTGAATCTGAATTAAAAAAAATATAGAAAAAAAGATTGTGAACCCTTATTCCAAGGAGGGAGCCGTTTCAGCCCTAATATACCATACTTTAATGTATAATATATAGTCAATATTACAATTTTTTTTTTTAATCGATCAGTACTTTCAGTTCTCTACCAAGGGAAAGACCAAAAAATAAGCTACAGTAACAATGTTTTGTTGTTTATATGGTGTTTCGAAGAGCTATTTACATTGATAATTCCAAGAAAGTCGATTGAGATTGTAAGGTATTTAAAATTTGTTACCTTTGGAGGCACCTCTCTGGGATGAGATTAGCACGGAGCCTGGCGACCGCGTACAGATGCCACAGCAGGTCGTCCGTGTAGCAGCTGCTGAGAATGCTGATCTGATCTCCAATTGTGGTCCATTAATTAAATTCTAGTATTTAAAAAGTAACACGAATAAAATATCAGCTAGTTGGCACACTCGAAAACCAGACAGCGCACATGTTTCGATCAAAAACAAAACAAAATAAAAATAAAATTAAATTAATTACGAGTGCTCTTATCGGGAACGGTCGACTAGGCAATACCCTAAGCCGACCGACAAACATATTATGTCATTCGACTCCAAATATATGCACAAAACAACACACACACACAAAACTTTACTTTGTTTAAAACTTTAGAAATGCAGAATGAAATAACCGAGGGATGTGGCTAGCTCGACACAGTTCGTCGTACTGATCAAAGAGAAATACACTCGTTGGTGTTGAAGATAACTCCTCCCTATTACCACTTTTACACATAACCAAAATACCCTTTTTACCATTCAGTGGGTGCAGGGTAGAACAATAAATAAATAAAACCCTAACTGTACGATTTTTAGCTGACCTAACAGCTGCCGCATTGCTCCAATCTCGAGAGGCTTTCGAAAATATCAAGATGTTGTCGACAGTCTTCGAATCGCTGCTTATTATTCAATACGACAGACTGAACAATTGCTGCAATGCTATTTGTTTGAAGAGAGCGGATAGAACAGAAGAGGGGGCTGCAAATGTGTATTGCTTTGACGTGAAGCAGCTACCGATCGAACTTGAACTTGTGTTTTTCTTGGAAGAGTCAGCAGAAATCTCAAGTCGAAACTAATGAGAAAAATGTGGCAAATGTGCTTATAGCATACATTCATATATTTATATATTTATTTATTTATTTATGTATGTATTTATGAATGAACAAGTGAGTAATTACGTAATGCGGATAAGCGCATCTTGGCTACAAATTTATTACCTTTAATACCTCAAGTCGTGATGGGCTCTAAAGCCGAGACAACGCGACAGTCGAGCGCGGTGCTAGCTAAGGCAACAACGCGTCGGATTAACGGCTTAACTTAGCTTAAATTATGTGCCACGTTGAGCAGTGTAATTAACCAGTGGAAAATGCTTTGGCAATTTTGTCTACTCTGCGGGCTGTGGACCAGCCAGGCACATGTGCGATTTACTCCAAGCACAAACTGGAGCAGCGTGCAACAGTACCCACCGCAACAATGGCAGGCCAGGAACTATAGTAGAGTGAAAGTAGCTAGCAAAGAACAAAACATGAAGCTGCAGCCCGTGGCCCTGTGTGAGGCACAGGATTTCCAGCACAACTACGAAGTGCTGGCTGCTGATGGCCAGTCTATCTTTGAGCCACATTTGAATCATTTTGAATGCACAAGAGCTGGCGAATGGGCCACCATGCGCGATCTCTGCTTGGATGAGTATGGTCTGCCCTGGCGGCGACTATGCAACGCCACAGCCCAGTGGCAGCCACTCAATCGGCTCAATTGCCGCGCCGGCAACCAGTTGAGCCGGGAGCTCTACCAGCTGGGCACCGAGCTGCTCGTTGGGGACAGCAGCAACCGCAGCAAACCGGTTCCATTGAACCGGCTGCAATATTTATTGAGCCAGGCAAATGACCAGTTGACACCGGTTGATGTCTACAGCACGACGCGTATAATTACCAAGCTCCTGGAGCAGCAGCCAAGAAGCGCAGCAATGGGCGCAGATTTGGTCAGCATTTGCCAACAGATTATGTCTGGCGATGCGCAGGTACTGCGCCTGTCCGCTCAGTTGAATGCAACCAACTCGCTTCTGAGTCAATTTGAGGAATACATGGATGCACTGCCGCAAGAGCTGGTGCCCAGCCACAGCTGTGGTCGGGCAGCCAGTGAAGCCTTGGTATCGACTGACAAAGGCGTGGAAACACTCAACTATGCGCACTTGGGCGTGCAGGCACTGATGAGCAACAATCTGAGCGTATTTTATGTGAACCCGACATGTGCAAACATCACAGGGATTGCCATTTATTCATCAGCAGCTGAAGATCGGCAGGCATCTGGCAGCGGCTTTTGGTATCGCTTTCTTTATAAAAATAAGAACCTGGAGCAGCTGAGAGGTGAGACAAATCTGGAGACGGCCACCTACGTGCCGGAGCAGCTGTGGCGTCAGCTGAAAGAGCGCGGCGCCTCCTACGTCATACTCAAGGTCTACGCCCATGCCGGACTCTTTGTGGAGGCGGCCGAGCAGCGCAGTGGGCGACCACACAGTAAAGTACTTTCCATATCCATACCCGGACTTGAAGGTGAGTTGAACTTAGCACCAGCTCAGCTTTGGCTAGGCTTAAAATCTTTCATCCATGCAGGAGTTGGCTTACCGTCGCCTTTGCCCTTCTTGTTGCCAAGGGGCAAGACTTTTGGCGAAGGCACCCACTGCGGCTATTGGAACTATAAGAACTGGCTAAGTGATGGCGTCACCACCTGCAGCGGCAACGGCGCGGAGGAACTCAACGTGCTCTGCCAGGCACAACATTTGACGCAGTTTTCGTTTCTGATTGGTGGCAGCCACGCCCAACTGCAGCTGGAAAATGTTCAACTACAGCTGGACGTGAGCCATGAGCAGTTGCTGGACATAATCAGCTATGTGGGCTGCGGCCTATCGCTGTTTGGACTATTGTGCATCTTTTTAACCGCGGCGCTGGTCAAGAAATGGCGCACTCAGGCCTCTACCAAGGTGCTGCTGCATCTTTGTCTGGCGCTTGCCCTGCAGCTGCTGCTCTTTGTCTATCTCAGCGGTGGCGAGGACTGGTTGACTCTGGAGCGGAACTGGCACCGCTGCTTAATTTTGGGCGCTGCGCTGCAATACTCTGTGCTGGTAATCTTCAGCTGGATGCTGATCATAGCCTTCCTGCAGTTCCAGCGTTATGTTACGGTTATAGGCGTGGCCCGCCCCAATCATTATATACTCATATCAGCACTGATTGCCTGGACTCTGCCTCTGCTGCCCACCCTTTCGGTTGTGCTGCTCGACGCCAAGTCATTTAAGCCATCGGCGCATCAGTTGAAACACCATGCGACTTTCTGTTATCCCTCCGGCTATGGCCTGGCCCTGGGCGTGGTTCTGCCCATAGCCTTGGTCACCATCGCCAATGCGTTCATGATGATATGCATAATTTACAGCATACAGCGTGCGCTGAATCCTCGACGCAAGCTAATTGTCCAGCAGCTGCGCCTGTCTGTGCTGCTGTTCTTTTTGCTGGGCCTCACATGGATCTTTGGTCTGTGCAGCTACTTGCATCTGAGCATTGTATTCTCATATCTGTTTTGCCTCACGGCCACGTTTCAGGGCTTTGTTCTCTTTGTGTATTTTGTGCTTTTGAATAAGACGAATCGAAACGCCTGGCTGAATCTGATGAGTCCCAAACAGTTTAGGTTAAAAGTGCCGAAAACGGAACAACAATCGATGACCACGTCATCAAGCAACAATTCCAGAAGAATGCAATCCTAACTAAATTTAATCCATGTAATCCATTTATGCGAGTACATAATAAGCACAGGTACAATCAACGTGGCTGCTAATATGCTGACATTGCTATTAGCTACAGCAAATAACATGTGGAAATTTTTCCAACAAACTTTAACAGACGTGAGCCCTACTTATACCAGCTTGCCATTTTTGCCCTTTAACAAAATATGCTTATAAAATATGCAACTCAAGATACTAACAAGCAAACGAACCTTTACAGTTTATTTTAGGCACATCACATAATACCATAATAAATTATAATGATAATTAATACCGTATAAATATCTGCTTAAAATGTATCAAATCTACCAAGTTAGCAGATACCTGGATTCACCCAACTATACGACATAATCAATAAAAATTAAATATGGATTCAAATTCAATTGTATTCATTATTAATTGCCCTCAGCTGCTGCAACTGCAACTGTTTCATACATTCTCAATCGATATTGAAATATTTCTAGTTTCGAACATTCAGCTTTAACCAAACTAATCTACTTTCCAGAAATTTATCAAATGTTTGATAATAAAAACTAACGATAGCTTTAAGTTCAATATTTTATCAATGTCACACAACCAGCAATAAGGTTTGACAGCCACCTTTTGTTACACCGTGTTCACAAACCCATTTCCTATCAGCTTAACCGTTTCAGCTGTGAGTCAAACCGGTTTGCTGTTTGAGCAGCTCTAGGCTACTGCATGAGTAAGCCATAAAAATAAAACTGTATTTGACCTTCCCATTACAGAATAGCTAAACATTATTTAAAACCTTTTTAAATAGCTATGCTTTTATTAAAACACAAATTATTAACTGTGATGATAAAAAAATTGATAAAGGATGTGTTAATAAAAACATTCAAATCAAATAAAAATTCGCATAGCATATATAAATAAGAAATATGTCAAAAAATCTCAGCAATTGTTAAAAATTGATATAATTATGAGAGAACGAGTTTGATGTGCGGTACAGCAAAAATTTAATTATGTATATTTAAAAATTTTATATGCTTAAACGTTGTGAATCATGTGATGAAACAATCCCAATAAGAATAGAGCGGTTTAGGTGTGTCAGCCAAATGTTAAATGTCCATCTAGAAATGTGTTTGGCCATTATGAATATGTAATTAAAAGATGATTTCAAAGCAGCACCGCTTAATCTGATTAAATTCTATAGCTTTGAGCTAAAGGGCATTCAAATTGTTGCTGACACTTTAATCCCAACTACGGTTGCCTAACGGCTCTTGACCTTATACATATATCAATTTATTGCAATTCTGTGTTGGGATTGTTTTTGCCGCCTGTCCGGTTGTTGTTGTTGTTTTGGTGCGTTTTAATTTATAGCTTCTAAATTATGTAAATCATATGACAAACTTAATTTTGGTGAATGTATTTTTTGTGTATTCAACATAACATAGTTAGCGACCATTACGAGCGGTGCGTATTTTTTGTTATATTTTATACCCTTCCAGAGACTATTATAAAGTTTGTTATGAAAAGAGTAACGCATGGATAAAGACATAACAGCTAAGTCTGGACAAGCTACTCCCTCAGTTCTTCTTTCTGTTGCAGTTAGTAAATATGCCGAATCAGTGCACTATATAATATAGTTGTATGATCCAAGAATTAAAGTGGATATCTTCACGAAACTCAGCAAAGACGAGCTACACAATTCTATTCACCTGTCCACAAGGGTATTTAAACTTCGATGTGCTGAATGTAGCCATTTATTTTTGTTTTAGTTTTCCTTATCTCATTCGGCCATTTGGAGGCTGAAATTAAAAAGGTATAACTCTCAGTTATGCTTTTTTCCGACTTGTATTTGTAGGCACAAATTAGTTTGGGCTTAAATTAGAATACGGAATGCTTAGAGACTATGCTTGATGGTATTTAAATATAACGTTAAATTATATAACAACCAGTAGGATTATAACAAATTAACCTCATTTACTGGTTGCCACTGGCTGCTTATCAAGAACGGCATTCCACATGCCGCTGCCTCGAACTAATTTGAATAACAGACGATGCCGACGCCAACGCCGATGCCGGCGTCAATCAGCGAGCGCGTCATCTCACATCAGCGTCGAATCCGCAACAGCTTGAGCGGTATGTAAGAAGTTCCGGGTGCCACATCCTTGCCGTCAGGCAGGAAATTCATTGCATAGTTCTTGGGTGTTGGCGTATTTGGTGGCACCCCATAGTCCAAGCTCTGCTGTGTGGCAGCGACAGCGGGCTGCCGTTGCAATGATTGCAGCTGCACTTCCGGCTTAGCCTGCCACAGCAGCAAACGCTGCCTGTCCGCCAGCTGGAAACGCTGCAGGTGACCCTGTATGATGCGACGCAACGCCGCCATGGTGCTCACACTGGGCGCCTTATAATAATACGCCTGGCCCTGCGGCTGAACCTGTGGCAGCGACTGCTGCTGCATCTGGCGCGGCAAGTAGCCTAGATTGGCGGCGCATGCGACCCCCAGCACCGCTATCAGCTGCAAGATAAATTACAGTCCACATACAAATTGACAAATTGTTTGCCCGTTGACGACTTACACAGAGGCACGTTTTGTACATAATTTACACACACGACTGACCGTTTTTTGTGATTCACGCCAATACTCGATACTCGCTACTGAGTACTCGATGCTCGATACACACTCGCTCGCCAACTCGTTCGTTTAACAGCCACTGGACAACTGAATCCCAAATTTTCGGCTATGGCAAATCATCTCGTTTCAAGTTCACGGGCCGCCGCAAATGCATTTACATAATTTTCTAAACTGGCCAGTGCTAAGCACGATACCAACCATCTCCATCTCAACTATATCTCTATATCTGTTTCTGTCTAGAGTTGTTGTTCAGCTAGTGGCTGTCGCTTTATTTTTAAAAGTTAATTCTTTTTCTAGCGCTGCCAACGGAGCACGTGATTTATGCAAATATTCATCTCATGATCAGATTTTTGTTTTTTTGGTAGTTTTTTTTTTGCGCGCGCGTCCACTTTAACTTTAACCTGATCTGGTTTTGCCTTCATTTGATTTTTATAGCTTATACTCATCCAAAACTGTAGCGAAAAGAGTATATCTAAGTTGTGTCAATCCTATAAGGGTATTTTCAATTTGTTACCTTCAATTCTGCGAGACTCTTAAAATCTGCGGAGAAAAAGATTGAACTGTAGGTTCTTGTACCCTAATTAGCTGTTAGTAATAACTTCTTTACTTTTCTTTAATTTTGACAATAAGACTAATCTGTATTTTGCCTTTGCACTTGACCTATTTTGTACAGGGTATATTAAATTCTAACAGCTGCCTCTTACTTATGTTTATTTACTTGCCTGGCTTTATCAATCGAGTTGAGTCGATCAGCAGTGCGCGTAACCAACAAACTCGCAGCCCACGGAGATAAAACAAAGAGAAACCTACACAATCTCCACAATTTCTCAGCTGCGATTGGCAAGATAATCTGGAGGTTCTGTTTAAGCCCAGTCTTACACGTGAATCTCTTGGCGGGCTTAGACAGAGAGGCGACTTTTTGGATGTTCACGCCATTATAATTATGCAAATAACTCATAATATATCAACATTCATCATTTTTTTGACACCGCGTCTTTATGGACTGCATGTACATATTCATTTTTCAGTCATTTTCATTAACATAATATTCAGTTGCTTTCAAAAGACGTCTTGAGCTTAGCACTCCCTTTATAATCATACAAAGACATCTGTAGTTTTATATTGATTTTTAATCGCTGCCCCTTTATATTAACCCAAACAAAACGACCATTCGATGACTGATTTTAGAATTCGTTTAGCTGTCTGTCTGTGTTAAAGTTTTCAGATTTGTTTGCTTGACAACTTAACTGAAATATATTGTATTGTCCGTATTTAGCCATTTTTGGTTATAACTTGTTCAATTTGCTATTCATATGCCGAACAACAGTCAATGTATATTTATGCGTTACTAAAATGCCTGCTTAGCTATAACAGATTGAATTACTTTTAAAGTAGGCTAGTTTAACCGATCAATTAGCATGCTGAAATTTGATATTTATTCCTCTTTATGTCGTTTTAACAATGTCCGAAATATATGTGTTTGTTATATAATTCAATTGATAAATCTATCAGCATTTGAGAATCTTAATTTGTTGTAGAAATTAACTTAGTGATCAAAATACAAAATACGAGAAACCTGAAAATCTTAGTGTAATTAATTTATTATGCCACTATGAAATATTGAAGCACAACGATTTCTAAGATCACAAGACTCATGTACTATTTCATTCAAATATTTAAATTTGTTTTTGTTTTCTTCAACAAAAATATAATATTTTTTTGAGACTTCAAAGATTTTTTCAATATTGCTTATTGTTCTATTCCCAACAAAACTCTATTTTAGGGACTTGCTTTTAAAATTTCCTTGCAGTTAAATGTTATTTATAGTTGCGTTTTGTTATTCTTATTGAATCAATACAGAAGGTCAAATTTAACTTTTCAGTTTACACTCTATGTAAATATGAATTTCTGTTTGTGTAATCGGATTGTAGCATTCAATTTACATTTATTGGGTTTTCACACATCAAGCAATGCAATTATCTAATGGAATTTCTCGGAATTTTTAGCAGCCCATCATCAACCCCCCCACAAGCCCAACCTAGTTGGAAGCTGTTGTAGCAATCGGTGATTGCGGCAAAACCAAACTGCGTCTGTCTGCGCAGGGCTTCTCTCCGCTGCTGCCCCATTCAAATCATTATCATTTGTATGCGAGTGTATGGGTCGATGGGTGGCGGGAAAGGGCAAGTCGACTATCGCTGACGCAGCATCAGCATAAGGTGTTGAGAGTAGATGTTGAAAATCAGTTGGAAAACCGAAACGGAAACGGAAATGATGCGCTACGTTAGCGCCAGGCATGGCACTTAATTAAAGCACTGCATTGGAATTGGAATTGATTTAAGCGGCAGCATTACGTAATTAGAATTTACCATTCTATCCAGATCAGCTTGATTGCATTAACATTTCGATTTATATGCAAAACTGCGCGCTGCTTGTTCAAAGTGTTATGAGAACGTTTAAGCTCGCTTAATTACTATGTAAATTATTTGTGCAATGTGTGTTAGTGGATGCCCCATATTGATGACGACTCCTTCTCTGCAAGCGTACAGCATTAACTCAGGCAAATGTCATATATATTTCATATGGTACGCAGAAGGCGCATCATAATCATCGTAAAGTTGAGGTTGACTACCCACAATGCCATTTACATACCCTGTACTTTTCAAAATGAGTCGCAATGGATTTTCTCTTATGGTCCATAATGTATGTATATACTTGATGTGTATCAACAGACAAGTTGATAAACCCAAACTATACTTATGAAATATTTTCAATAGCGATCCAAAAATGGTTTGAACTAGTTACATACACAATTTTAAACTCTTATAAATTGTTTTAATTCTTCTTAAGCAGTATTTTATACAAACCTTAATGCTGAATACAGGGTATCTGCTTGCCATTTACCCTAGAGTTATCTTTTATTTTTTCTGCTCTCGCTTGTCCAGCTGGCTTTGAAAGACAATTTCTCAACCTTCCAAATGGACTGGCTGACTGTTATGTAATAAGTTTGATGGGCTTTTGAACTAAACCCAATTGAGGAGAGGCATTTCATTTTGTACGGATTTGATAAAAATGACGAGGGCGTTAAGCAAGATATGTAGCATGTACTAGCAAAAAGGATGTGAAGGTCCAAGCGAGCGGTAACAAATTTAGTTATGTCTGACAGGCTACAGGCAGTTGCAGTTGCCACGCTCATATTTTATGCATGACCAGCTCCATCTCTGGCTCAAGCTGGGCTGGGCGAATTGCTTTCCAATTGACTAAACGCAGCGCTCGGCCAAGCATTCACTCACGTGCGGACGGGTCGAACGAACAGCGGCCAACCGTTTGGGCGCGGTCAAGTGGCCATTTGCTGGGCGCGCCAAGACGCCAATGGCGTCAAACGGCGCCATGAACTGCCAGTTATCGGGGGCTGATCAAATGGATGAACGATTTTTATGTTGCAATGGCACGAATTCCGCGCCAGAAAACGAAAAAACGGAAAAAGTTTCCAAAACGACATAACTCCGCGCGGTATGATGGATAATAGCTCCGCGGGTAGATATGACGTTCCAAAACGACATAGCTCCGCGCGGTATGATGGATAATAGCTCCGCGTGGAGATATGACGTTCCAAAACGACATAACTCCCTCCGCTCGGATGGAAATAGCTCCGCGGGGAGATATGACGTTCCAAAACGACATAACTCCGCGCGGTATGATGAGTAATAGCTTCGCGGGGAGATATGACGTTCCAAAACGACATAACTCCGCGCGGTATGATGGATAATAGCTCCGCGGGGAGATATGACGTTCCAAAACGACATAACTCCGCGCGGTATGATGGATAATAGCTCCGCGAGGAGATATGACGTTCCAAAACGACATAGCTCCGCGCGGTATGATGGATAATAGCTCCGCCGGAAGATATGACGTTCCAAAACGACATAACTCCCTCCGCTCGGATGGAAATAGCTCCGCGGGGAGATATGACGTTCCAAAACGACATAACTCCGCGCGGTATGATGAGTAATAGCTTCGCGGGGAGATATGACGTTCCAAAACGACATAACTCCGCGCGGTATGATGAGTAATAGCTTCGCGGGGAGATATGACGTTCCAAAACGACATAGCTCCGCGCGGTATGATGGATAATAGCTCCGCCGGAAGATATGACGTTCCAAAACGACATAACTCCGCGCGGTATGATGAGTAATAGCTTCGCGGGGAGATATGACGTTCCAAAACGACATAACTCCGCGCGGTATGATGAGTAATAGCTTCGCGGGGAGATATGACGTTCCAAAACGACATAACTCCGCGCGGTATGATGGATAATAGCTCCGCGGGGAGATATGACGTTCCAAAACGACATAGCTCCGCGCGGTATGATGAATAATAGCTCCGCCGGAAGGTATGACGTTCCAAAACGACATAGCTGCGCGCGGTATGATGGGTAATAGCTCCGCGGGGAGATGTGACGTTCCAAAACGACATAACTCCGCGCGGTATGATGGATAATAGCTCTGCGGGGAGATATAACGTTTCAAAACGACATAACTCCGCGCGGTATGATGGGTAATAGCTCCGCGGGGAGATATGACGTTCCAAAACGACATAACTCCCTCCGCTCGGATGGAAATAGCTCCGCGGGGAGATATGACGTTCCAAAACGACATAACTCCGCGTGGTATGATGGGTAATAGCTCCGCGGGGAGATATGACGTTCCAAAACGACATAACTCCGCGTGGTATGATGGGTAATAGCTCCGTGGGGAGATATGACGTTCCAAAACGACATAACTCCAGGCGGTATGATGGGTAATAGCTCTGCGGGGAGATATAACGTTTCAAAACGACATAACTCTGCGCGGTATGATGAGTAATAGCTTCGCGGGGAGATATGACGTTCCAAAACGACATAACTCCGCGCGGTATGATGGATAATAGCTCCGCGGGGAGATATGACGTTCCAAAACGACATAGCTCCGCGCGGTATGATGGATAATAGCTCCGCCGGAAGGTATGACGTTCCAAAACGACATAGCTGCGCGCGGTATGATGGG